AATCTCCTGTTAATTGGGAAAATACATAGATGTATCTATAATTTATGTTACGAATTCGTAACTGTGTGATTCGTACATTAAAATATATAATTGCGTATATAGGGTGATTCATTTCGAGGTTCCCTACTTTTTTAAAGAAAAAAATACAGAAAATTCAAATTTTATGGGGAATGTTTATTATCGCTCGAAAGAACATTTTTTGGCATTTATTTTTTGAAGATCTTTCAAATATTGGTCGCGACTACACGACAGTCCATCCATGGTCCATCCCTTGAGTCCAATTTTCGATGACTCGTTCGAAGAAAAAGTCTAACGGTGAGATATCACATTATCTTGGTGGCCAATCGACCGGCCCAAAACGTGAAATTATCTGCTCACCGAAGCGTTCTTTCAATAAATTCATTGATTGATGCGATGTGTGGAAAGTGGCACCGTCTTGTTGAAACCAAATGTCACCGAGATCACGAGCTTCAATTTCAGGCAGCAAATAGTCGGTTATCATGGCGCGATAACGGTTGCCATTGACGGTTACGTTGTCATCGGCATCATTTTTGAAGAAAAATGGACCGATGAGTCCACCGGCCCACAAACCACACAAACTTTTTTTTTCTGGATAAAATGGCAGTGAGTATGAATAAATTAAATTTTAACTTTTTACTGCAGGATGTTTGAGATTAAAAGTTGAAAATTGAAAATATTAATTTTTGATTTGAATGAAGTCGAAAAAATTTTAATACTAAACCAAAATTCTTTTTTAATTCTCAATAATATGCCTTAAAAGAAATTTTTCTTTCTTATTTTTCAATCCCGAATTTGGGATTACAAAAACAAAACAAATTTATAAAAATGTTGATTCAATTATTTTTGTAATGCATTATTTGCAACCCTGCATACTACATATGTACGTATTTGCGACACACTATCATGAAATTAAGACCGTGACCAACGTCTTTTTCTGTTGAAAAGCATGTACATTCGCAGTTTGTTTTTGAAAACCAAAATGGGTACCATCAATACATCCGATAACTAAAAATGTTTAAAGTTATTTGTACATCCTTTTCACCATCATTTAGTCGATAAATCTACCTCCTGGAAGTTTACGTTTCTCAACAAAATAATATGATCACTGAGATAGACGGTCAGGCGAAAACTTAGTGAAGTGGGAACAAAGTTTTGTTTTCATATCTTTAACTACGTCCCTTACAATTTTACACACTGAGCACATACCAATTAAAAATACGTTTGCAACTAACTGTTGATAGTCTCTATTCACCAAAAGAGACAAAGTCGCTGCTAGTTGAAGCATTGGTGGTACTGCGGTTGATAAATGGCCTTTACATTTTAATTTAAATAATAGGATGAAATTAAATGCGTCTTTGGTCAGTCTAAACTGTTTCCTAAATCTGTACCATAAATGATTTAAAATGATAATTTAAATGGTATAAATATACATTTTCTTACGCTGCTTCAGGTAAAGTCAGGAGATTGCTTCTATCGCGAATTCTGCACCTTATGGCTATTTGTTCCTCATCTTAATTTGATGAACTTGCCTAAAAAAACACGATAGGGTTCATTTTAGTGCCTGCTAAATTTAATAAATTTTTTATACAATAGTTTTTTGTTTTTTTTTCGCATTTCATGTTATTAGTGAATGTAATTTAAAGCAATACCAGTGAAGTTAATGCATACCATTTCTGTTATTTTCGTATAGAGTGCGATGATCCGGCTACTCGACATGTTACGAAATTTCACTCGATACGAATGCTTACTCCCTTATGGCACAAACAGTCAGCGACTCAAAACCGTGGAACGAATCAGCTGATACGACCTACCTTATGAGAGCGCAATGTAAATGAACAGTCTGTACGGTAGGATATTCGCGAAAATTGGATTTTTTCCGTAGAAACGAGTGAGCTGAAATTGAGAGAGCAATCTCGCAGGGTTGCCAATCTCGATATTTTGTAGTAAAGTGTTATGTTTTGTAGTAAGTTAAAAAATGAACTTTTAGAATATTCTTAAAATTTTTTTTAAATTTTTTTAAGATTTTAGTTTTGAGCTTTTACATTATGAAAAATTATGAATAAAAAACTAAATGTGTGAAAAATCGTGTATACAAATAGAACAATGGCAACAGTGGTCAAATGAAAACAAAAGAGAACAACTAATTTATGCGCTGCAACTACGGGCATAACTTTTGACAAATTTGGTTTGATACGGGCGGTAAGTACGGAAGGGAGGAATGTCGGTGACTGTTTTTGCTATTACGACAACCACGATACCAGCCCTGCTTGCTTTATAGCAGTGGTCGGCATGACAGGACCTTCGACTGTGTAGGTGAACACGAAATTAAAAAAACTTAGTGAGAACTCTGTTACCCTAAATTTAGAAAATCTTTTCCATTCTTTGTTAAAATAAGTACCTTCGTACTTTCTGATTTGTTTTATGTATTGTACGATTTATATATATATAATATATTGGACCCTAAAAACTTTCATTTTTTTGCCTTTAAGTAACATAAAACACAAAATGTATAAGACCATAAAGCAGTCATAATGACAAAAAATTTCCTACAGGGCACATTTTCCTTGGCGTTATAACCAGAGATAAAGAGATCCCCAACTCATATGTCACTGGAAATGAGAGAGCAATTGCTAAACGTTAAAAACTCCTAAACTCAGCCAACTTTCAAAATTCAATAGGTTTTGACGCTTCGCAATTGGAAAAAGAGGCAAGATTGAAATCCTAGCAAAAAAATATGTGAACGGAGAGATTTGTTGCCGCTGTTCAAGATCACTAACAAAAACTATAAAACAATAAAAATTAAAGAAAACGCGTAATTGAAATGTATGTGATAAAATATTTTGTAGTGTGATGCTTCGTAATATTAATTTTCTGTTGAAAATGATAAAAAAAATATTTATTAATTGAAAGGTAATACGTTTAATTCACTTTATTAAGTACTTAAAGTTAAAAAATCAGTTGTTTTAATATATCACAAACTCACACAAAAGGATTTAACTAGTTTAGTATATATTTATTATTTTTTAATCTCAATAAATGTTGGGTGTTTTAATTGAAATGCCCAAAAGTTATTAGTTTGACTGATCTGTTTAATATGTAAAATGTTATAAAAAACGCTAATTTTGAGGTGCTCTCACACTCGAATAAGTTGGGCATCTTTTTATCCCGGGTTCATACTGAAACAACGAAGCCTAGAAAATAAAGGCTATGCCTCAATGAATGCTTTGCTTTCAGCGTTTCTCCCTAATAAAAATTACGACTGTTGCTTGGTAAAGTGTAGAAAGATGAGAGTTACCCACGATTTTGCTTGGCTTCGCGTTTAAAACTTTGTATGTGAACTTACTCATACGAAAGCGTACATCGAACTTTTCTTTCAAAAAAAACTGTCTGACCCAAAGCGAAGCAATAGTTTTATGTGAATTGGCCATAAGCGTTGGCTTGCACAATTGTTTTATGAAATGCCACTGTTTTATAGCTTGTTGCCACATTGCTACAGATACCACACATGCGACGTTTCCTTTACCACAGAGATTGAAACCAGTCTTAAACGTAGTGTGATGGTGCGTGTCTTCACTTATGCACAACTGCTTCGCCACCTACATAACAAAATGTATATGCTAGACAATTAAACATGTGTTAATATAATATATTTCTTCTCACTTTTCTACAGATTTGGAAACTGAAGAAATATGTATGTATGTATACGTATGTGTTTTTTGATTAAATTACATAAATTGTTTGATTATTATGATGCGATAATTTTATTTATTTACAAATTTTAAGGTTTCTATTTATATAACTATATCCATATTACAGATATCGCAATTGCAATTAGTCACATTGCAATTCATATAATTATATATTAACAAGTAAGGAAGGGCTAAGTTCGGATGTAACCGAACATTTTATACTCTCGCAAAGTCAAATGGTATACTCGTTTGAGATTTCTTTGTGGATTGACTGATATTTTCGGTAGAAGGTCAACTATAGGCACTGGGGTCCACATATTTAGTACTTAGGGGTTTGAACAGTTTTGGTTCGATTTATACAATTTTTGACCGCAAGGTGGCATACTTTAATTGCATTATTCACGCAAAGTTTTACCCCGATATAATCATTGTTACCTGATTTGCATAGTGGAAAGTGAAAGAATCAGATGGAATTGAAAATGGTGTTACATGGGAAGTAAGCGTGGTTGTAGTCCGATTTCGCCCATTTTCGCACTATGACGTAGAAACATAAAAAGAACGTTATGCACCGAATTTGGTTGAAATCGGTTGAGCAGATCTCAAGATATGGGTTTTCACCTAAAAGTTGGCTGTGCCACGCTCACTGACTAATTTTGAACGCGGTTCCTATAAAGCCAATTTATAACATCTCAGAGATAAAATTTAATGTCTCTGGCGTGTTTAGTGCTTGATTTATCGCGCTTTTAGTAGTTTTTAACAGTACCGTTATACGGGGAGTGGGCGGAGTTGCCACCCGATTTCAACTATTTTCACACCGTCAATAGAAGTGCTAAAAACATTTGCTTCCAGTGAATTTTGTTATTATAGCATTAGCGGCTTAGGAGATATGCACATTAAACCTATTAGAGGCGGGACCACGCCCACTTTTAAAAAAAAAAATTTAACTGCAGATACCCCTCCTTAATGTGATCCTGTGTACCAAATAACAGTCTTGTATCTTATTGCGGAGCTTAGTTATGGCAAGTTATTTGTTTTTGATTAATGGCGTTTTGTGGGCGTGGCAGTGGTCCGATTGCGCCCATCTGCAATACCAACCGTCTCATGGTACCAAGAAACATGTCTACCAAGTTTCATATAGATATCTCAATTTTTACTCAAGGTAGAGCTTGCACGGACGGACGGACGGACGGACAGACAGTCACCCGGATTTCAACTCGTCTCTTCATCCTGATCATTTATATATACATAACCCTATATCTAACTCGATTAGTTTTAGGTGATACAAACAACCGTTAGGTGAACAAAACTATTATACTCTGTAGCAACAGGTTGCGAGAGTATAAAAATTTTAGAACAAGCCCCAAAAATCAGTGGTATACAGAAGGCTTGCATATTTGTTTCACATATAGCTATCTTTATATATATTATATATTTCTTCTGTGTGTGTGTATGTCACTGAACTCCTCCTAGACGGCTGGACCGATTTTGATGAAATTTTTTGTGTAAGTTCAAGGGGATTCGAGGCTAGTTTAGATTCACAACTTGGTCCACTGGAAAATGTTTATTTAACTAATTTTTCACTTATAAGTAGTTGTTAATTTTGGAATGTTTTACAATGGATCCTTTAGAATGCGCTACCATCGCAGAAGTTAGAACCTTTTACATAGAATTCCGGCAGACTGCGCTGCAGTCGTGACAGATATTCAAAAGTATGTTTGAGTATGTTAGATGGCGCTGAGATCAGATTCTAAGATAGCATAAGTATAGTTTAAACTATTAAAGCTATAGACATGTGTATGGTGTATAGTGTCTAAACATTGATACTGCTATGCTACTCTATACGGAAATAGTGAATATACAAAACTAAGATATATGTAAATAAATAAAACATAAATTTGATTTCATTTTTTCCTCTTCCGCGAAGACGTGGCATTTTTTGTAGAAATAACCTTCTATGAAAAATACACAAAGACCAATGAGGATTAGTAATAAAAAAATCATGGGCAACATTTGTGAAGCCACTATTTGGAGTGGAAAATTTCAAGGTGAAGTTGTACTTCTGCCACGGACTCCAATGATTCCTTCAGGTTCGTCGTTACCATTTAAACATTTACAATTACCTATCTGCGTGGCATTTGCGATGACTATTAATCAGGCGCAAGGTCAAACAATGACGATTTGTGAATTAGATTTAGAAAATCCGTGATTTTCTCACGGCCAATTATACGTTGCGGGCTCGAGAGTAGGAAAACCATCGAATTTATTTGTTTATACCTATCAAGGATTAACAAAAAATATTGTACATCCAATGGCATTACGATAACCTCAGTTTTGGTAGATAATTAACTCTAAGAAGAAATACCCGTTATAGAATATATTCAATCTTATCACGATTAATTAAAACGACTTAAAGTTTTCATTCAATACAGCTTCTACAATTAACATCTTTGAAAGCATTCTAATATACATATTGACACGCTATCGATTGGTCGGATTGTGATAAATATATATGAATTAGATATTGTAAAAAGTTTCTAATAAAAATTTTCATCAAAACGGTCTAATTGTTACAGCTAATTTGAAAAAGTTTACAGACGTAGGACATTACAACGTCCTGATATATTATAATTTTTTTTTTCAATATGTTTCACCAAGAATGAAGATGTATGTGAATTTAATTAATGTGGCAACACTGGATTGTTGGATCGAGCTGTGCGCAAGCCATCAATGGTGCTGCGAATGACGAACAAAACATGCGAGACGTGGGTACAGGTATGTATGTATAGTAGACCTAAAACTGTGAGCAGTTGTATAATACAACTTAACATGTTCGGACAACAAAGTCATAGGGTTATTAAATGATATTAAAGTTCACAAGTGCGCCGCGGTGGCCTAAATGTAACGGTAATGTACGCATGCTTCCTTCACATTTATAAATGCGATACAAACTAAGCAAGTGCAGATACAGACACGTACATATCCGGTAGCAGGGCTTGGTTTTAAAAAATGAGTTGAAAATATATTTGAAGTGATAAAAGACGAATAATATTCTCTGTAGTGTACAGTGGTACTTAATGTACATACAGCAAATAAATGTTACAAATCTCCAAAATTTTGTTATTGACATTTAAGAATGCATAAAAGTACCTAAATTAGGGTGCTACAACAAAATTTTTTTTAACTCTTTTTGAACTTTTGCTCTCTCAAATGTCGTAAAGAATGAAAAAAAATCCTTACCAAACATGGACTCTATTGCTCAACTCTATGGATTCGCAATTTTTATTTTAATTTCTTTTAAAAATAACAAGGGAAAAACTTTTTTTATTAAAATTGAATTGGTGCATAATTAACGCAATTTTTTACAAAAAAACAGTTCATATTCTTTAAGTTTGAGTTTTATTAAACTCTAAGGTAAAGTATGGCGACACCTTCTTTCTTTTAAAGATAAGCAGATAAGGTTCAGGTTTGATGAGGTTTTTTTTACATGAAATATAAACATTTAAAAGGGGTAAAAGCAAGTTTTTTTAAAAACACCCTCATGTATGCATTAAAGAAGAAATAAAAACTAAGAGTGTTTTAGTACATAGGCTGCGAATCTGTGCTTCCTTGCTGAGTTGTAAAAATCATGGTAATTGTAGTCTTCAAAATCAGTTTATTTTCAGTGTCAACGCAAACGTTCTAGATCTACAGAAGTTAATTCTGAATATTTCGTTGTTATACTCGTGCATGCATATGTAACATATTAGGGTAATTGATTACGACTTGGTTTCTCACAATGTGGTCTTCTAGACAGTTTGACCTTTTTTGCGAAAATGTGCAAATATTAATATCCGTTATTTTTCTGCTGAATCTAAGTTCGATGACAGATTCCGAACCAAAAACCAATTAAACCATGCCCATTTTTCAAAACTACAGCTGCCCTTCTTCATGGTGTCAGATTAGGTAAGGTTAGGTAAGGTAAATAGGTACAATATAATAATCTACCTCATTTCAACTTTGAAAAGTTGCTTGCTCCAATATTTTTAACCTCACTGCATGAGCGCCATTGGGACAGTCTTCAGTTAGGACCTCTAACATTGCGGCAATTCATTGGACCCTTTATATTCCACTCTGAACCAGAAGGCTTTCGTTAACTGGACAAGTGCTGTTAGCTGGCCAATACTTGCTGAACTCACGCGAAACCCATAGCTCCAGCGACTGAATGCACAAAGACAGGGGAGCCCCTGCTCGTTCCCATCCTAATGGAATTTATTTATTTTCATGCAATCTCGTTGGCTTTACAATTTCCAACGGTTCCGCTGTGAGCAGGCACACATACAAGTTTAATATGGGAGTAGCTTGATGCTACTGCTCGTAGGGTCATGCACTTCTTGACTAGTTCTGAGCTCACTATCGGAGAGCTCAAGGCCTGTATAGCAGCTCTGCTATCGGAGTGAAGTGGAGTACATCCACTGCTACCTTGATGACTGCCACTTCTGCTTGAAAGATGCTACAGTCGTTTGAAACAAGAGTTGAGTTGAGAGCTCCCGTCAGAAGACTCCTCTCCATCTTTCCCCTTGAGTCTTGATCCACCCGTGAAAAAGCTCTCTGCGCCCTTCTCCAACGACTCCGCTTCCGGCCGCACATTACTGAATGCTCCCTTAATATGGAGAAATGTACCTACCGTATTCCTAATGCATAACGGCTCTCTCCAGCCATGACACAATGGCGTACAGAGCAGTGTCTACCGACCGGCCTTCGGGAGGAACGCCACCTTTACCTGTCTCCAAGCCCTGGGAATATTCATGGTGTTCCTCTGTACTAAATTTCAGTTTTTTAGCTTTATTTTTGGCTAAATTATAGTACTTATTAATTTTATATACAACAACAATTTGTGGGCATGGCAATAGTCCAACCTCCGCAGAGCGCCAAAACAACGCGAGTTTCGCGAGATATCTCTATTTTTACTCAATTTATCGCTTGCGGTAACAGACGAACCGTTTATTTGTCTTGTCATCTTGATCATTTTGTTATAAATGCATAACTCTACATCTGTTCCGATTAGTTTTAGGTGTTACAAATAAACATTAGATGAACAACATGTTTATACTCTGTGAAACAAGCTGCAACGGAGGTCCTTACATTCGGTATCTGGGAAATAAAATATAATATAACCCGATTGTGACCACTTTTAGATGAGAGTTACCGCACATTACAATTATTATTTGTGCTTAGTTTAATCTGCATATCAACATTTATGTTTTATTTAACTATCGTAAATGAAAAGAATCTGGTGGAGTTTAAGATGGTTGCCATATAAGAACTTTGTGTCGCTGTAGCCGGATTTCAAACATTTTCAAAATGTAGCATAACAAGATAAAACGTGAATATAGTATATCGGGAGGTTGTAGCGTAGTCTGCAAATTTCAGATCGATATCTCAAAACTAAGGTACTAGATTGCATATATACTAAATCAACTCAGCTCTACGTACTGATCATTCATATATATATTTTACTTGTATAGGGTCTCCGACGTTTCCTTCTGGGTGTTACAAATTTCGTGGCGAACTTAATATAACCTGTTCAGGGTATAATAACATCAAGTTAATGGTATGCACATAATTTGGTACTAAGGGAGAGCTGAGATATGAGATATTAACTAAAAATTAGCCAAATCTTGTGCTTCTCACGTTTTTCTTTAGTGAGTGATTGCTCTTTTAGTAGTTTTAAGCATAACCCTTGTTATGGGGATGCGTTATTATTATCCCATTTTACCCATTTTGGCATTGAGTGCTAGAAATAAATACTTTCATTAAGGTTGGTTGATATAAATTCAGTATTTTGAGAGATATGTTCCTTAAATCTATAAGGTGACGGTGGCACACAGATGTCATCCTTACTATAATCCTCTACACCTCTGATCACCTATGATCTTCTGCACTTTAAGTTTTGTACAATAGCTTAATTTGTGACTTAGTTGTAGTATGTAGTTAATGATATTTCGCATAATGGCATTTTGTGTGTGTGGCAATTGTGCGGGGAAGACGTGTGCCACTTATTATCAAGATAACGCAACTTTTACTAATAGTCACAGAACAGAATTCCTGAAGTTCGCTTCGTTATCCTGAACATATATAACATTATTGCTTGAACCACACTATTATACTCCATTCAACATGTCGCTATAGTATAAATATCTTAATATACCATCATATTGTTATCATCTGTATTAAGATCTTCCAATTGACAGTTATTAATGGAGACACAAGTTAATGAAGTTAAATGTTGAAATGTTCACAACAACTACATACTTGTATGTACAAGTATAACTATGCAAAAACAACACCTCCTAACACTGTATGTGATTGCTCGAAAAAATAAATCTTACTTACTTAGAAATGTGGGAGTTTAAAGAGTACTATTTTTAAGGGATCTCGTTCAACATTCAACAAGGTCTCTGTCTTCCATACGTAGGAATGGTTACATGCTATAGTTCTGTTATCGACAGTTCCAACAGCGAAGTCTACATATTCACCGACGGATCAAAGGGTGAAATAGGAACAGGAGCGAGTTTCTTCCGTAGTAATCCATATGCTGAAGGTAGCTTCAAACCAAATAACTACCACTAAGTTTTTCAGGTCGAAATTGTTGGCGTAACAGAAGGTGCCAAGTGGGCTTCTGTTTTAACCACCCAGTTCATAAACCTTTTAGGGGACAGCCAAGTGGCAATTAAGGCTATCCGCAGTGCCTATACTGAGTCCCACTGCGTTAGTTTATTCAAGCAGGTAACGTAAATCGGTTAATATCAAGTCATATTAGAATAGAAGGCAACGAAAAGGCAGACGAGTGGGCCCGCAAGGGGATCAACATAACTTGTTAATAGTATCAGAACCGTGACTTTTCAATCTCAATCAATTTTTACAGTTTAATAATACACAATAATAATGTGATCCTGTATACCAAATAGCAGTCTTGTATCGTATTGTATTGTAGCTTAGTTATGACAATTTATTTGTTTTTGATTAATAGCGTTTTGTGGGAGTGGCAGTGGTCCGATTACGCCCATATGCAACCAAAAAACATGTGTACCAAGTTTCATAAAGATATCTCAATTTTTACTCAAATTACAGCTTGCACGGACGGACGGACAGGCAAACAGTCGATCGGATTTCAACTCGTCTCTTCATCCTGATCACTTATTTATATATAACCCTATATGTAACTCGATTAGTTTTGGGTGATACAAACAACCGTTAGGTGAACAAAACTATTATACTCTGTAGCAACAGGTTGCGAGAGTATAAAAATGTCGTTTTAAGATAAACCGTTTAAAGGTAAACTGATGGAGCTGACTAAACTGAGCGGCTACACTTTGGAATGCTATAACTTAAAAACTATTTCAGATATCGATTTAAAATTTACATACAACGGAAATTATTTTGCTAGTTCTTTCTAGCCACACTGTTTGATAAAAACAATCTTCAAGTCGAATTAAGAAAAAAAGCTCTTGATCTATCATGACTTTGATTGCTCAGTTTGTTTTACAGCCATATGCAATAGTAGTCCGATGTAACAGTATGCTCAGAGGTTGTACCTCCATGCCAAATTTTGTAAAGATATCTTGTCAAATAAAAAAGTTCCTTATGCAGGGACTTGATATTGTTCGCACAGTTTGTATAACGACTATATGCTAAACTGCTCCGATATCGTCGGTTTCGACAAATGAGCAGCTCCTTGGAGAAAAAAAGGACGTGTGAAAAATTTCGGATTGATATCTCTAAAATTTTGGACTAGTTCGCGTATATACAGACAGAAGGATATGGCTAAATCAACCCAGCTCGTCTCGTTGATCATATAGTTATATCTAATTTTTAATACTCTCGTGTCACGGTTTCTGTTGCCAAACTCCTGCGAAACGCCTATACCGATTTTGGTGAAATTTGATATGCTCAACGGGTAGGTCTGTGAATCGGCCAACATATATTTTTTATACCTCTAAAAGTGTAGGTTGGTCCACCCCAAATGTTATTATTTTTTTTATTTTTAGGACAAAATTTTTTGTTTTAATATTTACATGATCCAGCATTGAAAAATACATCCAATTCTACCTTTATATGATCAACCCCCGATTTTTAGTCGCAATTTTTATATTATATTATTCCGTTCCACCCACAGATAGTAAATATATGTTACTATAATTTTCATGTATAGTTCTATCAATGAATCAGTTAGACCCGCCAGGTGTTTCCCGTTGTCACTTCTGAACCAGGAAGCATTACGGAGTAGGGATGAAAACGAAACCGGCTTCGTTGTCTCGATCGTAGCAGTGACTTTTATATGAATCATTTTAATTTTTCAGTGCAACTCTCAAGTTGATTTTACTCTTATAGTGAATTTATCAATGCTTCTTAGTGCTAAAAATATCGAAATCGCAGATTCATTCATTCTTTTTTTTTCGACGAACACGAATGATAGAACAAAATCAAACCGGCGATAAATTGCCAGAAGCAACTAGACAGCCGATAGGTGCCAGAATGTTCTAGTAACGAACTTTTGTTAAAAACTGGCTATATAAAGGCTGCCGGATTGTGCAGCAAACACAGTTCTAGTTATAGTGTTGTCCTGTTAAAAGCAGTTAAGATATAAGCAAGAAGTTTAACGCTCGGATAATAAAGCGTTAAATTGTTGGAATTAGAAATAAAGATAAGCATATAGCCATTAAATTGGGAATTTTATTTAACAATCCAGTGATCGCTCTCAAGAGTGAGTTAAAGGTGGGCGATTTATCGAGAAATCCTTTAAAATATACAATATACATATAATATATATGTATTTCAAGTTCCATTTATCCAAACTCTCTCAAAACAACTGTTAAATAGTGGTAATACTTGTAGAAAAGTTGCCGTACATGAAATTACCGACTAATTTCTGCACAATCATCAACTCACAAAATACTCTCATCGACAATATATTTCACAGTGTACACACAATATATAAAAATCTTGGATGGCTGGCAAATAGAGCGATTTTTGCTGCAAAAAATGTGGACGTCAATGGATAAATACAACAGTTGTTGTCATAGGACTTGGTGTCATACAAATCTATCGACGCCAGGGAAACTGTGAATTATCCAATTGGCTTTTTGAATTCATTGGATATGCTGGGCATGGATTGGATCTCCGGTTATTTTGCTTCATAATTCGAACCCACTACGGCTTTGCAATGGCACAAGATTAGTAATTAAAAAATTAATAAAAAACATTATCGAAGCCAAAAATGTGAATGCCAATTGAGTTCAAATGCTCTCGATTTCCAATTAGATTGGCATTCGCAATGACGCTCAATAAGTCACAACGCCAAGCATTGTCTGTTTGTGCCTTAGATTTGGGTACACTATGCTATTCTAACAGACAACTTTTATTCTCGTGTGAGTAAACCATTAAGTTTGATTGTAATCGCTAAAAACAGACTGACCAAAAATGTTGTACACTCCATTGTGTGGAGAGATTAATCATTGTTTATTCTTAATTGCCATATTTTGTAGTATAAAAATGAACTATTTTCGATGTATATGTAGATAGCTATCAATAATTGTAATTTAATAAATATTTGTTTCTTTTATAAAGAATAATTTATTAATTCTGCATTTAGATAAAGTATACTTTTATTGTTTACAACTCTTCATTCCTATTTCAATTATAATTACATCCCCCAAATACTTAGTTAATTTTAATAAATAAAAATATTACTTCAAAAAACCTTTCCTAAAAATAACGTACAAATATGACAAAACAACGTTTTCCGGGTCAGCTAGTATAAATATATACTTGTATTGTAGTTTATAGTGCCTCCGATATAACAAACTTCGTGGCAAACCTAATATACTCTATCGATGACGGCGTATTAATAACAAAACAGAGCAGTAACAATTTACAAATACCTAGCAATAAGACCAATTCTTTCAATGAAGATGACATTATTAATATCAATGCAGACTTTCACAAGACAATCGCTCATTTATTGAGCAAACAAAAGCCAACAGTATGAAGGGAGTAATTTAAAGCAATGTTTTAACGATAAAAGCATTGCAGACAAAGAGAGTGTTGGGATTTTATTTTCTTCAATATTTCAACTTACATATATAATAAGCATTTTGTGGATTTTCGTTTTCGGGAGTAACTGCCTTATTTGAATGTCCACTACTACAGTGTTCTTAGTCTTCCATGCTCATACGACCTGAACAAAATTTAGCAAACCATTAACGAATGCTTGGCGTCGATCCCGAAGCTATAATAGATATCTAGACAGTCACAACAAAATATAGTGTTTAATTAAAAGTGGAGGTTCCTTTTACCTTTTTTTTCAAAATAGGTAAGCTTGTGCCACCTAAAATACTACATATCATGAACTAATAATAAGTGTCTTTCGAACAAGTCAATTCTAACTTTTCAATCCGCCTAATAAATACGTTACGGTAGTAGCCCGATGTGACGGCCGAAATTTCGAAGTGTTTTCGTGAATTTTTTTCAGCAGAAAAGTAATGTGCGATCGTTTTGTAATTTTTACACGTTTTTATTACTATTTTCAAGCATACAAAGAAATTTGTTTACGCCTATACAAACAAATTTTTAAGTTACAATAAATTTTTATTTCCCAATATTTTAGGATTCGTCAAAACAGGATAGTCCCGACGGAGATTTGCCCTAAAATATATCTAAAAATCCCAACGAATTTAAGGCTGAGAATCACTTGGTTGTTCAACAAAGCGTGAACCGGCGGACTCAAGGTTAGTATTCTTATTATTTAATAATAATAACATGATATAAATATTCACAAAATTTTATGGTTTTATACGGTTTAAAAAGGTACTAATTACGTTAAAAATCGAAATCAGCAGGGCAACCGTGTGCTGTTCCTTCTTCTAAATTGAAATTTTATAGACACAAGGTGGGAATTAATTTTATCTAGCATTAGAGATTTACTTCGCATTACAGATTTAGATACTTTAGTTTTGTACTTTGGCTATTATTTATATTATTATACACTCTCGGTTTCATAATTTTAACCTTATCTATTTTAATCTTATCTTAAAATTTGTATTCAAAGAAGTATTTGAAAACGGCGTTTTATTGGAAGTGGGCTTTGTTTTAATCCAATTTTATCTATATACACCATACCGTATTTACCGTTGTATAGGAACTCGGGCAAATATCGGTCAATATGCTAGTTATCTTAATGATATTCAGAAATCTCCTTTTAATAACAGCCTATCCTTGTGCTTCGCCTTCTTGCTTGTGTTAATACATTCCCTAGCCCTCATATACTGTCTTTTTCTAGGAATGATAATATATATTGTGTTCGCATTATTCTCTGAAAATTCAATTGGTATGTAGGGAAATAGGTACATAGGTATGTGCTCCACTGAGTAGTATGAATACCTCCTCTAGCCATCATATACTGTATTTTTCTAGTAAAGATAATACTTGTATTTATTGTGTGTTTGCATTATTCTCTGAAAATACAATTAGTATGTAGGCAAATATGTACATATGTATGTGCTCCACTGAATAGTATGCCTTTGAATTCGTTTCCAAATTACTTTCAAAAACCTTAATTTTTATATCTTTTCGAACTTCCAGTTGGCTTAAACGGCCCGACGGTAGTCAATTCATATCGCGATTGCAAGATCAACTCTTGCCTCTTAACAGCGGAAACGCTGTCCCACTTTCTTTGCGTCGGGGCGGCTTGCCGCACTTTTGATGATCGCGCGATATTTAGTCGTAGAGAAGTATTAAAGCATATGCTATGCCATCGTAAGTGGACCTATTTACAGTGCAGCAGTAGTCACATAGGAAGTGTAATGTAAAACAACAGAGATTTCGAACACGTTGACCACAGGGAATGAAGTAGCGCTATTGCTGTTACCTCGCCAGTTTACCTAATGATGAGCAGGAGTAAGGCCACATTGACATCAATTACCAAAGCAACAACAATAAAGAAAACGAAAGACACGCTCTCAGACTTCAAGTAAGTGAAGCCCATAGATATCACGTATAGTCATTGTAAGGTGTCTTAAAATATGAAGGAATAAATCTGACTTCTAATCAATTTTAGTCATCTTAACTCCATTGTGTTATAAGAAGTAACGGTTATACATATGAGCAAATAACGCGGAGTGTATAAAAAGTAAAAATTTAGTCAGACGAAACAAAAAAGCAGCTTTGAATCGTTTAGTGGGGTCTTTTTTCTGAGAAAATTTACCATAGCAATGTATATATGTTTTATACCATCAGAAAGTAGAAATTTCAACAAACAAAAAGCCCATTGACAGTTAAAAAAAAGATATTTTGACGTTAAATTCTTTTAATGAAAAATAGGAGTTTTTTCAATTTTAAGTCAAAATAAGGTTTCCTCATTAATATTTTAAATAAAAAGTACAGTGTGCTTTCGATATAAAATGGTAAGTTACCACTAAATTTTGAAAAATTATTTTTTTTTCTATAAAAATAAAAAACCCTAAAACTTGGATATTTGAATTTTTAACATTAGTTTCGAGTTTTTTGGACCAAGATACACAAGCTGTATATCGAGAAACCCAGTTTTTATCTACATAAATATTATATAAAATCCAACTATGTACCTCCTCTTACCGACCTTAGATAGCCCGTAAATAATAATTTTTTATTTTTGTTATTTTATCTTTCGTTTCCAATGTATTTAATCTTACTATTTTTATACTCACGCAACATGTTGCTACAGAGTATAATAGTCTTGTTCACCTAACGGTTGTTTGTATCACCTAAAATAATCGAGTTAGATATAAGGTTATATATATATAAATGATCAGAATGAAGAGACGAGTTGAAATCCGGGTGACTGTCTGTCCGTCCGTCCGCACAAGCTGTGACTTATGTAAAAATTGAAATAATTTGATGAAACTTGGTAAAAATATTTCATGGTACCGTAAGACGGTTAGTATTGCAGATGGGCGTAACCACGACCACTGCCACGCCCACAAAACGCCATTAATCAAAAACAAATGAATTGCTATAACTAAACTCCACAATAAGATACAAGACTGTTATTTGGTATACACGATCACATTTGGGAGGGGATTTCTGCAGATTAAAAGTTTTTTTTAAAGTGGGCGTGGTCCCGCCCCCTAATAGGTTTAATGTGAATATCTTCTTAACCGCTAAAGCACACCGACACTGTGAAAATGGGTGAAATCGGATGGCAACTTCGCTCACTCCCCATATAATGGTGCTGTTAAAAACTAGTAAAATCGCGTAGATCAAGCACTAAACACGCCAGAGAAAATACTTTGTATCTCTGGGATGGTATAAGATGAATTTATAGGAACCGCTTTCAAAATTAGACAGTGGACATGACACCGCCTACTTTAAGATGAAACCCCATATCTTGGGATCTGCTTAACAGATTTCAACCAAACTCGGTACATAACAGTCCTCTTATATTTCTATGTTATAATTCGAAAATGGGCGAAATCGGAATTACAACATTTTCCTATTTCCCATACAACATCATTTTAAATTCCACCTGATTCTTTCACTTTCCACTATGCAAATCAAGCAACAATGATTATATCGGCGTAAAACTTTGCGTGAATAATACGCTTAAAGTATGCCACCTTGTGACCAAAAATTATCTAAATCGAACTAAAACTGTTCAAGCCCCTAAGTACTGAATATGTGGATCCCAGTGCCTATAGTTAATTTTTTACCGAAAATATCGGTCAATGTGTAAGATATATAGTTGAAATTCATATAATAAAATAAATAAATGAAACTCTCGATAATAGTATGTTTTGTGTCAAAAATTGGTTGAATCGGATCAATACTTCCTTTAGTTTAAAATTTTGCCAACACGGCTTGGATCCTTGCAAGTTGCGAGAGTATAAAACGTTCGGTGACACCTGAACTTACAACTTCCTTACTTGTTTATTTTGCTTTCAAAAATGGTTTACCCTGGTCTATTGTAAGTAACTAAATTTTTCTTAAGAATTTATAAGTAATACAATTTGTTTAAGAACAATAATTAATTTGTCCATAGAAAATAAACTCGAAGCCCTTGGAAAAATACTACCTTTTAATAAGATTATGTAAATTGGTATTGAATTATAGAACACATATACTCATGTTAAAACTTATTTATATCAATATTTATTTATGTATGTTTGAGTAGATGTCCATATTAAGAAAATGCATATTCAAGCATGTAAATGTGCGTACATACAGTTACGTTCACGAAAATAGGACTGCTCATTTAGGACCGAGAAAACATAATTTTTCAAAAAGTAATACATTTCAAATTCAATTCAACTACATAGACTAGTAACAGGATGTATAAATTTCATTATATTTCTTTCCGCTTTTCCGACAAAGGTAAATGTATTTCAAAGAAAGGTAAAAACGTGAATGTGAATCAACTACAAAAGGCCTAGAATTCATTAAAAACCCAAAATTTTTTTTTTACCTTTTACTGAAATAATATAATACTTCAACCAATATTTAATTCAATAGGCTTTGTTTTGATGTACAGCAGCATATCTTCATAGCACGGCGTGCATGCCCCTATTAACCTGACTGATTGTCGCTCTACATTCCATTAAACGTTTTTCCGTAAACATATTAAATGATATCTTCCCACTCATTTTCAAAGGGGTTCAAGGCAAGGAATAGAACAGTCCACCCTTTTTGACCAATATTGTTATGTTCGGAGAAATAATTTAAGATCCTTTTATGTTTTAAGCAATTTTTCGAAAATTCTTCCACGATATAATAAAGCATAACCTATTCTAATAGTTGGATATATTTGATCTGGTCCATAATGCTTTAAATTCTATTATTGGCCATGTACAAAAAAAAAAACTCCGAACCAGTACTAAATGTCTTGCAGACATATTAGATCAGTTTTTAGGATTGTAGGTTATTTCTGCAAAATTTTAAAACTGATAAGTACCACTTTACCTTCATCTGGTCTGTAAACCTTTGAAACATTTCACCATTTTGACTTTAACAACTTTATGTGGATATTTTTAAACCGAAATATGTTTTTCTAATACCACATAATATAGTTAAAGGTGATACATTTATGTGGGGTTCTGACGTTTAAATTGGGATCTACCAAATGTCTTTTAATTGTTCTCAGAGTTATGACTTTACTCTTTCTTAATTACGGACTTCGAAAAGACAATAATTAGTTAAACTTATTTTTTTTTGTCTAAAACAATCCTAATTGAGTTTTCCTACAAGGACTAGTTAATAGGAAAAATAGAAATACGGTTACTTTTGCAAAACCCAAATTAATATTTATTTTTTACATCGTTATGTAATGCTGAAAACACAATTTCGGGTATAATTGCTAAGGAAAATAGATACGCGTTTTCAATTATTATGAACATAACTCTACATACATATGTACGTACTTATTGTGTAATTGGTATGCATTACAGCCCTACAGTCTCATACATGGATTCTCTAAAACATCTGTCGAGGGCTGCCAATGACCAGGATGAAGAAGATCATCGAAAGTATGCCAGCGAGGAGATGCGACATTTCCGTTGCAAAGAACACAATAACTGCGTTTTCAATTGTAGCAAAAACAAATATTTTGGTATGTAACTAATATATAATATAAACATGTTATGTGTACAATATTATTTCACTTTATATTTTATTTGTGTATAATGAAGTAGAATCAAATTTTCCAACCAATGTTATACGTCTGAATATTATGCAATTCATTTGCATTCATAAACATACATACTTCGTGAGAAAATATAATAGTTAAGTGAATTCACCCGCTGCAGTCAAACAAACTAATCATAACGTACTTTGAAGTTAGTACGTACCAAAAGTGTAGATATTTTTCACTTGACTACCGGGTATCAATTGTACTCTCAGAAATATACCACTTCTTTTAGTTCGAAATATAATCACATTTAGGCTGTTTGGCAAACGTTAACTTTTTATAATAGTTGAGTTGGGGTGAAAAAAATCTATGGTGTAAACCAATTTTGTAAATTGAATGCAAATTGTCGACAATTGAATTGTTAAACAAATACTAATACAACGAGTATGTTCGAATATTTACAAATGAATACCATTACGATTTTTGATACCCTGAATAGGGTTTGCTACAAAGTTTGTAATACCCAAAAGAAAACGTTGGAGGCCCTATAAAGCATATATGGTCGATAAATGAATGGGGTGATGAGCCCGTCTATCTCTCTGTGCGTATATCCGTCTGTATATACGTGAACTAGTTCCTCAGTTTTTGAGACATCAATATGACACACGTCTTTCTCTCCCCTATTAGAACCACCGATATCAGACCACTGTGTATATAGCTGCCATACAAACTTCCCAATCAAACTCATGATCTTGTATGGGAAACTTTTTAATTTCACGAGACGTCTTCACGAAATTTGGCATGGATTATTATCCAAGGCACTTTGAAGAAATTGTTTAGATCGAACTCTATAGCATATTGCTGTCATGCAAATTGACAAATTTAACTGAATTCCGTGTATGGAAACCTTTTTTATATGATGAAATGAATGATTAAAAATTCTAGAAAACGATATTTAAAGTAAACAAAAATTTCAAGCTAAAAACTGTTTCTTCCATTATAAATTTAGCCTTTACTGGCATTTCTCCATCTGCGAGTGTTATTGAATGGTGCTTACGCAAAGAACCAGCTATTACAGACGGGAAGTATAACATTATTCTTAATTATTCGATTTCATAGTCTTTCAGAGTGATTAATGTTAATGCTTCTATTAAAAATTTTGTTTTATCAAGCTCCTCGGGTTAAAACTTGAGTAAATTGTACCTAAATCTGTATCTATGGAAAACTTGTCGAAAGTTAATATTTTGTCCAAATTGAGGTATTGAGACCCGTTCTGTCAAATATTAGGTATATACTTGTATTTTAATTATTATGTTATGTTAATTATGTACATATTATGCTTCTTAAATGATTGGCGTGATTGTAGCAACTATCATAAACCCGAATATCTTAGTTAAAATTTAATACTTTACTAATTAAGCATGAAAAGATAAAATTTTTTTTTCCAAAAGCTTTTCACCTAAGTGACCTAAGCCAGAAGAAACTGAACATACCATCCCCGCCTCTGTTTACTGAAATCGATGCTAATAACAGAATAAAAATACCGAGGACCGTGAGAGAGTCTGTCCACAGCGATAACAAACGTTTATTCCAACAACAACCAAATCAACACAATCTCTATCTCCAATACAGTATGCTAGCAGCGAAACTGTTATGCACGTCAACCACGACAAGTGAAACATGCAGCTTGACGCAATATAATGCGACTGGAGCAGCGAATAGTTGGAGTAACTTTTCTGGAATCGGAAGATCTAATTCGGAAAAACTTGACAATCTCTATTTACAACAATACGATTCCCAGTCTGCTAATAGATATGATAACGCATTAAATGAAAATACATCTGAGCCACCAAAAATGAAAAAATATGATGCAAGGTTCGACGCTACTACTCTGCAGAAAGGCAATCATTGCAATGACATTGATCTGGGTGATATAGACTCCACCACACCCTTAACTACGTCTATGGAGGTGCGTGGCTCTATTCAAAATACTTCTATAGATGGGTTTTTTAATCGCAAACGTGGAAGGCCTCCAAACACTCGTTTTGTTGAGGTATACCCAAATGTAAGTAATATTTTGCTTTGTTTATGAATATTCAACTCCATATCTTTCTCATGAAGAAAGTAAACATTAATATATTCACACTAAGAGGTCCGTATTCTTCAAAAAACAAGTAAGGAAGGGCTAAGGTTTGGTTTATCCGAACATTTTGGCTGCGGTTATTCGTAGACTGATTTCACGCCATTTTTGTCCCCAAACTATAGCATAACCTGGATTTCGTTAACACACATCTTATTTTTTGAAACGGTACAAAGTAAAACGTAATTTTGAAAATTCTTATATTAGGTGTATGGGGGATGGTAGAATTATTGACCCAATGATATCCATTTGCCACCAGAGCTCACTTGTATAAAAAAAAGATGCCTTCTGAATTTAATTTAGACAATTCTTAGATCGATTGACATTTTCGATAAAAAATTTTCCATAGGTATTGTGGTCCACATATTAGATATGTGGAGGTTTAAACAGTAATTCGAACTAGATCAATTTTAGTTGAGAGGTGCCATACCTAGGATACACTCACAAGTCGAATATCTTTATTACGATAGCTGAATTGATTCTTGATGTATATACTGCAAAGTGGGAAAATCAGATGGTACTTAATAAGTGTGAGGTTGATTTTCAAACTGTACTGGATCTCAAGGTTATATTCTGCAAAAAATGTTGTTCAAATTGTTATAATCGTTCCTAAGATAATATTTATTGCTACTAACGAAAGCTCTCCATGGCTGCTTTGCATGCAGAGCTGAAGCCTTCGACACGCTTATTTACCGCGTCCGCAGTAAGCAAATTGTTCGTTTTAGTAGGAGCTTTCTGCAGTACAATCCCAGTTTATATTTCTAGACCTATGTACATATCATAAAAGCTCCAATCGTGCGTACATATAATAATAAGGCTACACTTTCCGGCCGACACTTTGCACAGACTTCTGCCGACTTTCCATTCCCCAAAAAGCCTGCCACAAAAGTACCTGATTGGATATGCCTATCCTTCAGCTTTTGTGATTTAGCTTTACCCAAGATTCACCACAAGAAGACAACTCGCTACATACACTACATCCTAAGATATCTTACATACTGACCTATATACACATATGGTATAAAATCAACGAGAAGTGCGACAAACATATGGGGTCTAGATGAAGTACTGAATTAACTTTATCCATTTTTATAGTCAAATCAGATTACTATCATTTCATTTCTTTAAGATATATAGCAAAATCACGGATATTTTCGGTAATAAAGTCAGTCGTAACTATTGACGTCATAGGTATAGGCCCATTTCGACTAATTTTGAATGAGAGATGCCCCACCTTAAGTTTATAATAAGATCTTGTTAGACACCTTCAGTAATGGTGGGTTTAATTAATCTCGATTTTTGAAAGAAAGAATCTGATGTAATTTAAATAGGTGTCATTTCAGAGATTGTAATCCAATCTCGCTATAGGTATATCAAAATTTAACATATAATTTGGTTATAATTAGTCGAATAGTTGCTGAGATATAGAATTTACGTAGAAGCCACTGCACTTATCTAATTTTTATACCGATTGGCATGCACTATATTTATTTAATATTATATTTACTGTTGGTGGTGGTTCCTGTTTGGAGATATTCGATGAATATTATTCCGTTAACATCCCAAAATAGAGATGTCATCACATTACCAGCCAGCTGTTGCGTTTTCGCTCTCTTTGGATTCGGCTCGTCGTCTGTTATCCACTCAGCCGACTGTCTTTTAGCTACCAGTATAAAGTACTGCAGCATCCATTTTGTACCGAGCTTCACACAGAATGCAATAATTGACGAATCAAAAGTCAGCTTACCGTCAAATTTATAAACGCATCGTTTGAAGGTAAGTGCTAAATAAAAGTCATATGGAAAAAGTTCTAAGTAACGCTCCTGAATAGATTTCTCGAATACGAAAGTATACCGGCATCTCTGGCCGAGTCATAAAACGCATCTCAATACATATATACATGTACCACCCCTAGAAAGACAGAAAGTTGTTCAATCACTGTCCACTTTCACAACCGATCGAGCGCTTTTTTCGATCCGCTACTCATCAAAGCCACGACGGGTTTCCAAGAATCTTCAAGACCCACAGCGATTGATAGAAAAGGAAAAATGGAAATCATTTTTCATAATAGCTTGTGCCTCATTATTCAATCCATCACATATGTCCTTGCGTTTCAGGAGTTTTGAAAGTTAATATAATACTACGCGCGATTTGTTTTTGTTAACGCACATTTTGATTACTTTCAACATAACAAGATACACCCCTTAAGTGTGTTGTATCCGATTTCGCAATTTTCACAGTGTATCATAAATCTCAAATAAATAAAAGTGTTTTATGCTGTGCAAAAGTGGTAAAAGTATAGAATAATTTATTCCAATGACATTTTACAAACCTTTTCATGTAAACTTGTGGGTTTCATTGTGTAACTTCCGCTGGTATGTTCATCGAAAATGTAACGTACTTTATAGAAACATTCACTGATCCAGCGTATTTGTGCTATTGCAGTATTTAGACCCTAAACCACTTGCTATCATCTAAATTGCCACTACAAAACACAGATGTCGATTCAATATTTATTATGTCTAATATTTTACTAATTAGGTTTAAATGCTTTAACTATACTCATTTTACGACTCATATCCGATGTAAGATTCACAAAATAGTATAAGTACATACAATGTGAGGAATACTTATAGACATGTAGGTACTTTTTGTCCTAATACATGCTCATGGATTATTTAAATACTAACAAGTAAGGAAGGGGCTAAGTTCGGATGTATCCTACCGATGACATTTATACTCTCGGCATAAGTCGAAGATGGATATACTCGTTTGAGACTTTCTTTGTGTTGACTGATATTATTAGGTAGAAGGTCAACTATTAGGCAATGGGTCCATATATTTAGTACTTAGGGGTTTTGAACAGTTTGGCTTCATTAGACAATTTTTGGCCGCAAGGTGGCATACTTTATTACATTATTCTACCGAAAGTTCTAACCCCCGATTATAAGTCATTGTCTACCCAATATGATATTTGCATATTGGAAAAGTGAAGAATGATGGAATTGAAAATGGTGTTACCATGAGGAAGTAGGCGTGTTTCCGATCTTCGCCCATTTTCGGCTATGACATAGAAACATGAAAAGAACATTATGCACCGAATTTGGTTGAAATCGGTGTAAGCAGATCTCAAGATATGGTTTTCACCTAAAGTGGCTGTGCCACGCCCACTGTCTAATTTGAAATTCCTCATAAACCTTATACTCTAGAGATAAATTTAATGTCTCTGCGTGTTAGTGCTTGATTTATGGCGCTTTAGTAGTTTTTAACAGTACGTTATATGGGAGTTGGCGAGTTGCACCCCGATTTCAAGTATTTTCACACCGTCAATAGAAGTGCTAAAACATTTGCTTACGTGAATTTTGTTATTATATGCGTTAGCGGTTTAGAGATATGCACATTAAACCTATTGAACCGGGACACGCACTTTAAAAAGTTTAATGCAGATGCCTCCCTAATGTTGATCCTGTGTACCAAATAACAGTCTTGTATCTTATTGCGGAGCTTAGTTATGGCAATTTATTTGTTTTGATTATGGCGCTTTGTGGGCGTGGCAGTGCCGATTACGCCCATCTGAATACCAACCGTCTCACGGTACCAAGAAACATGTCTACAAGTTCTAAAGATATTCAATTTTACTCAAGTTAGAGCTTGCACGGACGGACAGACAGTCCCCGGATAACTCGCTTTTCTTTCTGATCATTTATATAATATATACCCTATATCTAACTCGATTAGTTTTAGGTGACAAAAAACCGTTAGGTGAACAAAACTATTATACTCTGTAGCAACAGGTTGCGAGTATAAAAACAATAACTATGTGACTACACAATAATGTGGCAGTGGTGGTAACTAGAATATCACATTTCTCTGATTTACGCTTTTGATTCACTTTTTATATGCTGCCATAACATTCCTCAAAAAGTCCGATCAGAACAATTTTCTTCGGAGATATATCATTGCTTTAGGCAATAATCCAGTGCCATTTCTTGAGTATATATCCTCAAATGAAATAGTTTTCCACACAAGCATTAGAACGTTGGGTTTGTACAAAATATATACTACAGTGATCGGATCAGAACATTTCGTCGGAGATTGCACAATTGTCTTATTCGTCCAAATGAAAAAGTTTTCCATAGAAGAATTTGATTTCGACCTTTAGTTTGTATGGCAACTATAGCTATAGTGGTCCGATATCGGTGGTTCTGACAAATGGTGAGAAAAGGACGACGTGAAAATTCCAGATCGATTCTCAAAACTGAGGCGATAGTTGCGTTTATACAGACAGACAGACACCTAGCTACATCGACTCCCGAGTCGTTATGCTGATTATAAATATGTTTTATGTGGGACTACACGTTCCCTTCTGGGTGTATCTCGACAACTTAATGTACCCTGTTAGAGTTTTATAACAAAATGACTTGCCATTGACATTGTGTGTGTTCTTCTTTCATTTTATCTTATGTTATATTTTAATAAAATATGTTTGTTTTGGTTTTTTGCTCTCTCCATTAAAATGTATGATGTAATTTACAGCTTTTGATTTTATGTGACGATTTATAACATACTGTATGTATGTATATAACCTTTGAAGTTGATAATTTGTAGTAGAGTCAATCGTGCTATAAAGAAAGTAAAAATCCAGTCTTTTTATAAAAGTTGTTAGAGTTGAATAATTAATTTATTGGCTAAATTTTTAGGCAATTATCCATAAGCAAAATAGCATACCCAAAAAAAAACCTTAGAAGTTTTGAACCAGCGAATATAATTAACATTCTGAAGTCTATGTACTTGTATATCAATAAAAGTTGAAAATGATTAATGATTATATTTGTTTCAGATCCTGACCCAGTATATTTTTAAGTAAACTTTCTTTTCTACGGATATTTTAACTAATTGGTAGATTAATTATTCGAGTAAATCGA